AAATACAGAAATTGCTTAAGGAGAAAGAGAGGGTCGAGGCTGAGATTGAAATGACCAGTGCGCAGATTGCGAAGAGGAGTCACAAGTTCAACTCGACGAGAACAAGCACATTCAGCACTGCAAAGAAGGTGATTGAGTTGGAGCAACAGGTTGCACAAACAGAGGCAACTTTGAATGACAAAATAGCTGAGAAGCAGAAGTTAGAGGCAGAAGTAACGAAGTTATCAACCCCAACAGTCGATTCACTTACAAATGCGTTCTATAGGGGACTAGGAGTTGATTTTGTCAAACAAGATGGGGGAATATTCGCTAGAATCAAAAACAAGGAGAAGAATGACGTATTTCTGCTGGATTTGGAGAACGATGACCAGGAGAAGACATGTGAAGAAATCTGGTCACTCTTTGAATAAATTCTTAAAAAATTGTTTGTTACCTCAGAGACCCTGAATGCAAAACAGTCAAAATGCTAAAAAAGACCTGTACAAGGTGTTACCTGATCTACCAGATTACGTCAGAAAGGATCAGCAGAAGCACGAGGGATACAGCACAGACCAGATTCCGCCATTTCTATCAACCACAAATGCTATTGTTTCTGAGAAAATCAGCAGTGACCCAAACCTGATTAGGAGCACAATGTATACGGTTCCCCATACTGAATACGCCTTGGCNAGGAGAAGACATGTGAAGAAATCTGGTCACTCTTTGAATAAATTCTTAAAAAATTGTTTGTTACCTCAGAGACCCTGAATGCAAAACAGTCAAAATGCTAAAAAAGACCTGTACAAGGTGTTACCTGATCTACCAGATTACGTCAGAAAGGATCAGCAGAAGCACGAGGGATACAGCACAGACCAGATTCCGCCATTTCTATCAACCACAAATGCTATTGTTTCTGAGAAAATCAGCAGTGACCCAAACCTGATTAGGAGCACAATGTATACGGTTCCCCATACTGAATACGCCTTGGCCGACTCATCTGTTCCATTTTCACTGGTAATGACGCCATTCAATGATCGGGCCAATGTGGCTGTTGTTAAAACAGTGGATAAGTGCCATTCATGTCAAAGTTATGCATCCAGGACAACAACTCTTGGTGATAATTTGATTAGGTGTTCAATATGTCACTCTCAGATTGTGGTGATGGACAAGACAATTCTGAACTATGCGACATACGATATTGTAGACGAGAATCAGACGCCTATGTTGCCTATATTCGCATTTGTGGTTGATCTAAGTGCTGGAATTCTTACAAGAAGTGTGATAGCAGCAATTAAGAAAGTAGCAACATCCGAAGATTTCAGGACACTCTACAAGAGAGCAGTATTTCTGGTTCTGAATGGTGGAATTGTCACATTTAGCAAAGATGAGACGCATTTATCAGTTGTGAAGATGTTTGGGGAAGATGCACCTGTGTTTATGGGAAGTTCAATTTTGGATACTGAAAACACCAGTCAAATCAAACAGGCTATTTCATACATAGAAGAGATGAACACTGGTGGATTTACACCAGATAAAATGTATATGAGGCTTCTTGGTAGCGTAAGTTTGCTTGGTCCAACTAAGGCAGCATTATTCACAAACAGACAATCTTCCTACAATTATGAAGAATACTTCAAAAAGTATAAGGGAGTCACATTCAACTTATTCTGTCTGAAGACAGTGGATTTGAGCAATAATACGCTGGCCAGGATGGCATTCTATACATCAGGGAATGTATTTAGGTACACACAAGGAAGTCCACAGGTGTATGATGACCTCTATCACATAGCATGTTCAAAATCAGTGTTCAATGCTACTGTAAAACTGAAAGTATCTGATAACCTGGTTAAAACAGACGTAGTAGCATCCACCTTGGAGACCAATTTGAGTGCAGTCTACATGAATCATCTGAATACAACCACATCACTGTTGTTCAAGTTATCGTTACAAGACCCATCTAAAGAACGAAAAGCAATTCAAAGCGTAATAAAATACGTAGATTACGATGGATTGGCTAAGACACGTGTGCTGAATATGCTACTGAATGCAGATAAATCAATCTATAGCAGTCTATCAGTGGATACGATATTCACAGCACTAGTGAAGAGCAAATTGGATGAGGAGGTTGATTTGGATGTGGAATTGGCTAAAATGCTGGCAACGTACAGGAGAAAGACACAGACGAAAGATGAATCATTTGTGATACCAGAGAGTCTGAAGATTCTACCGGTGTTGATTCAGGCGTACAAGAAAATTGACAAAAAGGACAACTTATTCCTGTATAATGCAAATGTGGAACAGATGCTGAGATACTTCTATCCCAGGCTGATTTCACTATCAAGCTACTTCTTCAACAAGGAGTGTGACACATTGCGTCTCTCTCTACGAAACATCTCAGATAATGAGATCTACATTATGGAAAATTCAAGGGAAATCATGTTTTACGCATCAAGAGGAGTAGATTCTGGTGTATTAGAGAGCATATTTGTGGATGTTGATGCGATTAATGACGAGTCACATATCACTAGAGAGAGTTTCAACATTAAAACAGAGGAAGGAAGAGTCTGTCTAAACCTGGTGGATGAAATACAGAACAAATATGGTTATCCACTGAAAATAAGCGTAATTCAGGCAGGACGCCCTAATGAAGTCAGGTTTAAGGAGTATATGGTGGAGGACGAAATCAATGAGCAGATTTCATATAGTGACTATGTCATCGAGCTCCATTCTATGGTCAAACAGAAGCCGTAAATGAGTAAATTTCAACTATTTTTCATTTCTGAAACAGCCACCAGAAAACAAAACATCTCTGTTTACCCCTTTATGGAAACTGGTGCATTCACTGAGACGGCCTATGATAACGAGCCAAGTACAGTCTTAGACTATCTGAAGAACAAATACTACGAGAAACCAGACATAGGAGAGTTCATCGACTTCAGACGTCCTGCAGATTACTCGTTTGACAAAATGACTGAAAATACAAAGAAGAATTTCGACCGTTTTGCAGTCTACTACATCGGAATCACCGCGTTACTCTACGCCTTGTTTATTCTATCGAGTCCAATGTTCATTATACCATTTGGATTGATTGCAACTGCAATATATTTTGTAAACACGCAAACTGTCATTAATGGAGTAGAAATAACATCAAGACAGGCTATAATTGGGTGCCTAGTGGCAAATGCAGTGCTATTCCTGTGCTTTAAGTCATACTTTGCACATAGGATAGTTTATTTCTTCTCAATCAATGCATTGTGTGTGCTAATGGTTGTAGTTCATTCTCAATTTGTGATGGAAAAGAATGATGAAGAAGATAAACTGTGAAAGAAGTGGGGTTATTCTTATTGGAAGGCAAATTGAATTGCTCATAATAAATCATCTAGTTAAATACAAAGGAGATTGTTGTTATCAGCTACGTTCTATTTACATGTTTGATCAAGGGTTAAATCAACATGTATTATTTGTATTTGTTACTAACACAAAGAAGTGGTACAGTAAATCAACCTTTTACGTCAAACAAGTGGATATTTCCAGTGATCATATTACTTTATGATTTGTTTTCAAACAAAATAATAAGGTGGATGTGCTTAATAATATAGTAAACTGATGATATTCAGGAAGTAGAGCATTCATAATATTCTTGTGTTACTTTAATTCCTTTTTTGCACCCTTTATGGAAATAGAGAAGCACCATCTTGTAAAATCAACTAAATGGAACAAAACACTTAAAAGAAGTACAAAAATAAGAATATTACTGGCTTTAGCATGCACAATAATCATGTTGAGTACAGTGTTCATGATTCAGGCTATACGAAGTGTCGATTTTGTGTCAGAAAATACGATCAAATGTGAATATCATGAATCCATCAAAAAGGATGGTAAAATAGAAGATGTCTATGATTTTATAGCCAATGAACTATCACCATTTCACATTGCCAATCAAGTAGAGCTGCTTAAGCTAAACAAAAAGAGGTTGCCTATTTCATTTATCTCTGAGAATTACAATGCAGTGGTATTGAAATATGAACATCAAGGTAAGAAAATGGCTATAAAATACGTAAAACATAGAAGAATAGACAGCAATCATCCAAACGAATTGCACTGTACCAAAAAGATGCAAGAGAAAGAATACAAGAACCTGGTTAGAATTTACCATGTAGAAACAAGAGGAATCACGCATACAAAATACAATCATGTGGTAATTTACGCAATGGAGTATTTAAATACGAATGTAATTGGATACTGCTACAATGATGAAAAGAGAATTGTTGAGTATACAAAGGACATATTGACTGGATTGAACAACCTATATGAGGAAAAATGGGTTCATCTAGATCTCAAACCATACAATACAGCTGCAAAAGTAACAAAAAACGAGCGGATATACAAAATAATTGATTACGGAAATGCAATGAAAATACCTGAAAAAGAAACAAGAATTTATACAGGGAAAGGATATGGAACACCAGGCTATATGGATCCACAATCTCAGTTAAAGGGTGAGTATGGCCATTATTGTGACATATGGGCNCAAGAATTTATACAGGGAAAGGATATGGAACACCAGGCTATATGGATCCACAATCTCAGTTAAAGGGTGAGTATGGCCATTATTGTGACATATGGGCATTGGGTGTTTCATTGTTAGATTTAGGAATACTGAATAGCAGAAGTACTGAGAATGAAGTATTCAAAATACTGGAGCAAAAGGAGAATACCAAGAAGTTCCATGAATTCATTCGTTTTAGGAAACGGGTTTCAATAGAATGCAGGCATTTTGTGTGGATGTGCATGCAAGAAAATGAGAGAGAAAGACCAAGTGCAAGTGAGTTGTTAGAACATCCATTTATTACGAATAAGAAATTGGAAAATATTGAAATGCACATAACTCACATGCTTAAAATATGTGAATAAATAGACTTTATAGATACGTTTATAAGATCAGGTATTCAGATGTGTAATTTGACCTGATTGATAAAATGCTTTTAATTACAACTTACGACGTTTCTTTTTGTTCTTCTTTGTGAGCAGATCCTTCAAACCCAAATCCAATATGTGATATTCTTGCCACACTACATACGCTGCATACGCATTGTATATAACTTCAAGAAGTAATCCAATATTAAATCTAGTGTAAGCTGAGCCTATTACTATGAATTCCAGTACTAATAGTGCAATTAAAATTGCTTCAAAAATGAGTATCAGAGCTATAGCCATCTTTCTTTGTGTTTTTGATTCTTCATTGATCTTGTATGTAACACTGATCAACAATACACCTTCCAATACCAAGTTAAACCATAAGGATAGTTGGTATCCAGTATATCCAATGATAGATGTAGCAACCACCAATGATTCAATTGCGTCTTGTGTTATTCCAAGAGAATACAAGCTTAAAAGTCGAATGATTGTGTTTGAAAGAATAATCAGGTATCCGAGACATAGTGCTGTGAGTCTATTCCTCTTTCGGTATGCATCAATTAGTTTTTGGTTTCTTGTTAGTGTTGATATGTAGCCTGTCGATACAAATCCAATTCTCTTGTAGAAAGTTAGTAGAAATACTGATTCTGATGCAACTGCTACAAATAGAAGTATGTAGAATAGTAGACACCCTATATGATCTGCTTTTAGCAACTCAAACAGTGTCTGTATGGATAGCAGTATAATTGCAGTAAGAAATAGCATCAATATAACTATTGTGTTTCTAAACACATCAACATCTTTTTTGAGTAGCGTATAAGTTAGACATACAAAGAAAATTGTGTTGAGTAGTAGCAGCCTTTCAAGTCCGAGAGCTAAGAAAAATCGTTTTTCAGGTGTCAAGTCTTTTCCTAAGCACAACCTAATAGCGAATAGCATTGCGTTCTTGAAGATAAGAGCCCACCTATGCCATTCAACTCTGTAGTTAACCTCTTTCTGTATTCCTAGAACACGTCTCATAGGGTAATACAAGGTATGGATTAAATAATACGTTATTAATGTGCATAACACGAGTAAATATTTTGAATATTTGTAAATGTATGGGTTATTCAGGTTAGATTTTACAAAACCGTATAAGAAAAGTGAAAATGAGGAACAGTGGGTAGGTACATATTATTTAAATGGTGTATAAATTATAAATATGCATCAGGTTACCACCTTCATGCTTTGAACATTACGTTTAACAAATTATTGAACCCTAAAATGTCAAGATTTTTTCATGTAAATGGAAATGCATCAGAAGAAAACAAGAAGACTGAGAAACACATTGAAGAGAAAGA